CTCCCTGCGGACAGAGGCAACCGCCCGGGCAGGAGTATCGACCGGGCTCGTTAAGGTGGGGCCAATTTAACCCAGACTCCATGGCGGAGATGTACGTGCTCACGCAGGAGCCCCGGAGGGACAGCCGGGTTTTTTGTGGGATTTGCATCCGCAGGTGGCTCCCCCCCCCATTTGGCCAGGGCATGGGTGACGGGCCATTCCAAGGCGCGGAGCGGCCGCACCTCCCCGGAGGAGGGACTGGAATTGGCCCACCGCCTGGAGGCGCCAACTAAGACGGGAACTTGAGGAAGTAATCCAGGAGATGGTGCTGCAAGCCCTAAGGGCCGAGAGGGAGGCACAACAGCCAGCTCCTGTCCTTCCCCCCCCTCAACCGGCACCCCCAGAACCGGCGCTCCAAGGCCCGAGACCGGATGTTGAAATGGAATTATATATACATAGGAGTGGTTTGTTAAATTAGCATGCAAAACAGTGAGGACACGATTGTGCTAATTTAACACACGACTCCTATTTCATTCCCATTTCATCGTCTGACGAAGTGCGCCTGCACACGGATGCTCATGCCTCGAATAAGACTTTGCTGGTCTTAAAGGTGCCTGACTGGACTTCCTTCTATTGCTTTAGACCAACAGGGGGACCCCACCTTGATCTGTATTGCTGGATTTAATGGTACTGCAGTGATTTTTTTTTATTCAGATGTTTAGAGAAAAGGCAATTGAGATGGTGACAAGCACCCTTCCCCCCTCTGTTCCCCGAAATAATCCCTGCGCCGCACCAGCCCCTTTGTCTTACTCTTTCACTGCTAGATAGACACTAGGCCACCTCCCAGAGCCTCCCTGCAGCGACGCCGCGTCGAGGGCCTTTGTGGCCCATTTTGTGAGCGTCTCCTGCCCCCTACTGGCTACGCCCAGAGCCACAAAGACAGGTAGGGCTGTCGGGGCTTCTCCTCCAGCTGACCAGACGGAAGAGGTGGTTTGCTGGCGCCCCATCCGCGCGCGGGGGGGGGTTGGAGTGCTTGGGAGTAGCAGCTGAATGCAACTGACGACTAAAAACAGGAGCGTTTGGATCTATGTGCTGCTTTCAGTCCATTAAATCCAAAGGGGAAGATGACTCAGTAAGAGATGCAGGACATAAAGGTAAAAGGTTTCCCTTGCTCGAAAGCCAGTCGAGTCCGACTCTAGGGTTGCGGTGCTCATCTCCGTTTCCAAGCCGAAGAGCCAGCGCTGTCCGAAGACGTTTCCGTGGTCATGTGGCCGGCATGACTAAACACCGAGGCGCACGGAACGCTGTTCCCTTCTTCCCACCGAAGTGGTCCCTCTTGATCTACTTGCCATAATTTCTTGCTTTCGAACGGGTAGGTCGGCAGGAACATCGTTGCATGACATCGTTGGGTGACAGAATGAATGGCGATGAACACCGTGTCGACCCTGGTCCGAAAGGGCTGGCTGTAGGCCTCCCTCCAACAGGTGAAGCCAGCCGAGGCCCGGGCGGAGTGGCGCTTGGGGGTGTTGGCCATGATGACCCACCTGAGCGAGGCAGGGCAGCTGCTGGGGCTGGGAAGGGGGGAGGCCGGCCTTGCTGCGAGGCCCCGGCGGCCAAGAAGTGCCCTTTCCGGAGGGAGGGAGGGAGGGAGGGAGGGAGGGAGGGCAGGTCCGCCAGGCCCCCCCCCCCTCCGCGCTCCCTCCCTCCCTCCC